AAAGGAGAAGCGGCCATGGAAGATGAAGATGTTTGAGGCATTCATGGCGACTCACCACCGTAGGGATTTTCATGCAGTATTCGCTTCGCCATGCGGCTATCATTCATTCGCCGACAATGACCGTTTCATTTGCGGTAATTGGTCAAATGTCTTCATTTTTACTTTAAAACTTCGTTTGACAACGGATCGTTTCACATGGGACGGCCGTTTTAATCTCTGCACGTAGCGACCCCCCCCCTTCCCCCCGTGAACTGCAGAGAAGAGTCGGGCATCTCTATGCAATAAACATGTCTGATGATGAATTGTGTATCTGACTGTATCTACTGAAAGAAACCATTTCGTTGTGGAACCGCAGTCGAATTTGACACGCGTAACACCTAATGTCTATTTCAGAATCATTTCTGTCAGATGCAATTTGTTTTCAACTTTGTTACGTGCTGCCGTTTAAAAGCCATAGAGAAGGATATTCATTTCGGTTCGATAATAGTATCGAGGCAAGGTCAGATGCCGCCGAACTCGTCCATAGGTTGCGGATAGTGGGACAACCCTCAGATATGAGGGTTAGCTGCGAAATAAGCGGAGAACCCGACGAATAAGCAGTCACGGACAACGTGACGACAGTGCTACGAGGGTGCAGCGAGTCAAGCTCTGGCAAAGTTGACTCTAGAAAATACTGCATGACCCGATGACAGCATGGTGACATGGCGAGTACATGCTGCCGTCAAATATGGATACTCCTTACCCCAACAAGTCGTAGCCGGTTGCCAGCCCGATTGAGAAAGATGGATTGGTGTCAGGCAGACAGCCGGCCTTAAAAATCAATGACAGAGAAAATATGACGTGTCAACTTACCTCTAGAAAGAATTCTATGGCGTTCCTCACAGGCGACGCGCAGCAGCAAATCCCGGTGGCTGTGAGAAATGAGCAAAGCAACCAGTTCTTGCTACGGCAGCAATTACAAAGGGAGAGACTGGCATGCCGAAAACGAAGCGAAATGTGAACACTTGAAACATTGGAACAATGACGGGAAAGAGACGAAGCTAGCGGAAGCTCTCATAGGTGAATAGTTCTGATCGTTTGATTCAGGAGACGAAATGGAAAAGTGAGATACCGTTAGCAATTCGGGCTAGCTGATCCC